AGATCGGCAAAGATAACCGCGGCAAGCGGTAGTGACGCGCCGCAACGGGTTATCGATAATCTATCTTTATTATCGACTCGAGTCCGCCTGACCCCCGCGAATAGTTTATCGCGCCACGGACGTTAATGTAAGCTTTACGGATAACGAAATTTACAGTTCCCTACATGTGGATACATTACCTGTGGCGAATTTATGCGGCGGCGCGTATTATGTTTTGATTTACGTGCACTTTCTAATTAACTAAAGTAGGCAATCTACAACGTTTCGATTTATTACTCGGAGTCAATGCAAAGGGGGATGTTTATCAAGGTTTATGGGGAAGTCTAACCATCTCGAACGGTACTTAGAAATTATCTTCTTAATTTGCTTTCGTAGGATCGGTCGGGAGTTTTATTCAGTTCAATATGCGTGCCGTTTATTTTTATTTTGTCGCTATATTTATCATTAATTTATTAAAATGATGATGTTTCTTAAATCTTTAATAACTAATGTAATTTAACTTAACCTTTCCGCAAGTAATGAATGAATTAACATCGTTCAAATAAATATAAAGAACTAAAAATACATAGCAACTTTAAAAAAGCGTCTGAAAAGCCCAGTCGTTGGAATCATAACGAAGAGGAAACCCAATAGAAGAGTGATTGTAGTAAAACCCAATTTATATGTTTATTCTTTGTCGTCTTACAATTATGGATTATAAAGGACGGTCAACGCATTCTCATCTAGTGAATCTGGGGCGAAGAAAGGCGTAATCTGTTTTAAAATTTCCATACATGTGTTTTTGTTACATTCATACGTGTGTTTTTGAGAAGAATTTAGAAGACGAACGATGTCTGTCTTTTTCCGTTTCAAAGATTCAATGTTCCAATTCATACGAGTACCGTTCGTTTTGTAATTAACTATCCAAATCTTCAATTAACCCTTATCTGCGTTAAATTAATTACAAGTAGCTGTCCCAAGCCTTAAATGGTCGATAACAGTTACTATAAGATTCTCATCGATAGTCGGACCGGTGCGATCAATCACTAGGTTTTATCTCCGATTCACACCGCCAGCTTCACGGGGCGATTTAACCGAATAGGGCCGCAGCTATTATTGGAAGTGGTCTCTAATAGTTCCGCGATAAGATGAGCCTAGAGTCTCCTATAATATTTCGACGGAAACAACACACGACTTAATTAGACCATTTGAAACACCTGCCGCGTCAAATTGATCACAAAACGATCAAGCTTTCCGTTAAAGATTTTGCTATATAAAAAGTTGGCAGGCCATCAAGCAGTTCTTCTGATGCTTACCACCGCCCATGGGCATCTGCAGCCTTTGTGGTGGCTGATGTTACCAACCTTTAATACAGTGCGCCGCGATTACCTCATTCACTGGACGGAACGAGAACTTTAATACTTCTGCTTCACGCTGATCTCCTGGGAGGCCGTGGTACTTTCCCAGACGAGCCTGCCCATATCTGCAACAGCAGAAGCTGCCGTGTGACCCTATTCAGTCTTTTTTTATGTGAAAAGTTGCCAAACGAGCAGACGGTTCACCTGATGGTAAGTGAATACCGCCGCCCATGGTCATCTGTCAGACCCGAGGGTTGCAGATGTGTTGACAACCTTTTGAAAATTGGGCTCCGGCTACCTCACCCACCAGACGAAACGCGAAAGTATTTGTCATACTTCCACTTTACGCCGGTCTTCTGTGAGGTCGTGGTTTTACCCGGATGGGCCTGCCCATTCCTGCAACAGCCGAGGCTGCTGCGTGGCCCTACCACCGTAAGTCTACAGATACAATTTTTTTTTGTAAAATCATCTGAAGGTTTGAGACACCACTACCAATAACATAAAAAGTGGCACTTATTTAATAGTAAAAGCACTAACCTCCTTATGAAATACAAGTCATGACTTATATGCAACTTTTAAGAACGACCCACTGATCGTAACTAACATAAGCACAACATAATCTTAAATTATAAAATTTCATTTGAAGTTAAATTGCTACATATGTTTCGAAAGAAACATGAAATTGCCATCGGGCATAAAGAGAATTAGTGCGGAGCGTAACTTAACAACGTAACGATTCAATTAAATTATCGAATATAATACCACCCACCGCAAACGTACCAGTTAAACACTTGTATATTTAAAATGAAGACCTTATTAATTTCACTTCGAAACGCTCGCGGCATCCAACTGACGTCGTATAGAGAAATTGCACCGTCTAATGCGTACGGCAAGTACAAACTATCGACCTATACCATTTATAATAAAATGTTATATAAATAATGATGGCATTTTATTCTTGCAAAGGTTAAGCAATTCCGAATTGTTAAAAACAAAAAAGTTCATTGTCTTTTTCTCCCTTTTTATCAGCCGCTTTTATTATGTAATTATTTTAAATAAACATTTGTTTTTTTTTTTTCGTTTTGTTTTGTTAAAGTACATATGTTCTCAGATTTACAATGTATAAGAACATAAAAATTATTGTGAATTGAATATATAAAAACAGGTGTTGACCAATTTAATTAATATCTTTTAATAGTTATTTCATTTTAAAAGTAATAGTAAGGGCTACTGCGATTGTATCAGCTGTAATAAAATTACACTGCCGCTTAATGAAATTACAACAAAGCTACCAAATAGTACTCTACTGATTAAAGTTTTAGATCTTATTTCAGCAAGCACTTGCTCGCCTTCTTAGTAAGCACTTGCTCGCCTTCTTAGTAAGCACAAGGAATTATTTATTATTAAATATTTTTAAATTAATAATAATATTAATTATTTTTCTTCTCCCTCTCATAGACGAGGTTCTAAAAGTTTCAAAGTCCTAGAAATTAAAAGAAAAAACCTCAAAGAAAACTGATCTTTTTAATTCTTTAACGTAATACCGCCAGAAACACCAACGGTTATTTTTTTCGGTTTTCGGTTGTTATTTTTTTCACCAAAAATGCCACATTTTCTTGCCCGATTTATAAAAGCCGTAAGCTTTAACCTAAACCTATAGGGCTTAAGGGTCAAAATTAAACTAAGAATATGAAATCGCCTGTAGTTAAAATTCTATTAGTCGATAGTCTGCCATCACCCTTAGCGAGAACTGGCCAGTAACAAAATTGCACTATCCAGCGCTAATGTTATCCGCGGTAGCGCCATGGGTGGTTATGTTTCCCGCCGCGTCATATATTCGCGTCCAACCACACAGCGCCGACCGATCTAGCACGTTCAACTACTTTATTGCACCGACTGGATCGAACGGCGGACTAATGTGGAAAAATTAACGTTAATCATTCCGTAACACAATCCAATCTTAGAACGAACGTATGTTGCCCCGTGTAACATAATATGCGCACAATGATGGGCGAGAGGTTTTTTAATTTTATCACTCGCCGTTTAAGAGGTTGAAATACGCGCGTCCCCTTCGACAGCGCCTTCGACTCGGATCTGTGTGAGTCATGCATTGGCCACGCGAGAGAACAATCGGTTTCTATGAGTTGGGGAATAGATACACTATTGTTCAAGTAACAAGGTCAAAAATAAAAAAACCAAACCGAAACTTGAACTTTAAAATTTATACGATATGTGGTAAATATATGGTGGGCGAAATTTACTCGGTGGTAGGACCACGCAACAGTGTTCGCTGTTGCACGAATGGGCATTTCCGTCCGGGTTAGTACCACGACCTCACAGAAGTCCGGCGTCGAGTGGAAGTGTTACACTTCTGCGTTTCGTTTGGTGAGTGAGGTAGCCGGGGCCCACTTTATTAAGTAGTAACGCATCTGCAAGCCTACGGGTGTTGCAAATGTCCATGGGCAGGCGGTTATCACTTAACATCAGGTGAACAGCCACCGCAGCAAAAGAAATGTAAGTAAATTAAGTATTTTTAGAAGCAGCAGTCAAGTTGTACAAATTAGCAAATCTACGATTATTAGAATTTGCTTACATGTTCAATATATCGTCCATACTGGTAATATATTAATGATTATTACATCTATGACAGGGATACCAAATGATATATATGAGACCAACTGCCATATTTGGTGAACTGTAATGTACCGTAGTCATAATAGCATAACTTGTCGCTGTAATGTAGTCATAAATGTATAAAGGCGATCCCAATCTTATGCTTGAAACTCCTGCTTCGCAGTCGTTACAGTATAATTTTGTAACAAAAAAAAACAAAATTGATTCCCCGAATCGATATCGAAGTACGCGTGCATTCAATGAATTGCAATAGCTTTAGCGCTTTACTTTCGCCCGACAGACATTGAAGCAATCCATTGAAGGCGGCCAATGAATCGGAACAGGGCTGTAAAGCCGCGTGGGTCGAGCCACGAACCGCGCGCTCGACGCATAAATCGCATCCAGCGGTGAACCGAGCGCTTCCGATGTTACAAATTACCAACGGCACAGATCGGCCGCTCTATTACGCTCACGCACGGCCCGACGCGGCGTCCCAACCCGATAAAGTATCGCGGATTGAATTTAATGCGTCGCAATTGCTAATGGCCGGGATCTTGAACAATCCGAGGGGCATTAGTGAACCCGAAGGCGCTCCATACATATTTATAATGGCCAATTTGTGTTCGCAACGTCCAGTGAATGAGGGCGCGCCTCTAAGGGGTGGTACCAATTTAGACTTTGAAATTGTCTAACCTTGTACAAGATGATATATGCCGCTTATTGAACGGGCCGGTGCGGTGGCCGAGATACACGAATCGCCGTGTCGAAACCCACTGCGCCCGCAGACGTTGATAATGAGACGTGTTTAGAAAGGCAACATTGAAAGCCCGGCAGCTTAACAACGGTCGAATGTCTTATTGATACTTGTAATTCTCGATCAGGACGAATTCGTTCTATTAACGCCGTGTATACAAGCTACGGCGTAATTTATAACAGATATTATTTTCAAGCAATTGTTCAATACTTGTATAAAATAATCAATTGCGCCACAAAACAGAATAAGCTTTCACAACGTAACGCCGATAGTAATCCCAATGTTGTTTGTTTCAGAAGGATCTCTCGGACGACTGCGTGTTCGAAGAGCATATAGAGGAGAACAACTACAACACGTACTCGCGGATAAGGGGCGGCAAGAAGACCTTCCTGGCCCTGGACAACAGGGGCAGGTCGAGGCGGACGCAGATACCGGTCAGCAGGCCGCTGGGCAACCTCTCGGGCTACGCGCTCACGCTGACCAGGCGGTGGGACGGCACGCGGCAGAGCCAATGCCCGCCGCGCCGCCACCGCGGCAAGCTCAAGCGGCCGCCGCCCTTCCACAGGAACTGCCAGCGGCGCGTCCAGAAGCAGAACCAGAGGCACAAGCGGAAGCACAAGAAAGCGAACGACCCGAAGAAGAAGCAGAGGCACCCGAAGGCGCGGAGAAAACACGACAACGGCACCACCACCACGACGGAGGTGAGCTGGGACGAGTCGACGATGTCTACGATGTCGACGACGGACGTCGAGTTTTTTCGGTCGGCGACCGCGCAGGAGGCGGTCGGCCGGGCGTGAGCCCACTGCTCGCCGTAGGCGCCGCCGTCGCGCTCGCACAATAGCACCGTTCCACTCTTACAGTGCAAGAATCTCTGTATCATTCCCCGCGGGCGCCGTGTCGAGCGACAGCTCTCGGTAGCGCTGTGGCGAGCCCTCTTCGACTTCTAGGTCTTTGGCGTGCTCATTCATGAACCAAGATGTCGAGGGCGGCTCCAGTGGTCTGCGAATAGTAGAGCCTCACGTTTCTAAACCTTTGGCCGCCAAGTAGGTCTATTCTTTAGATAGGAAGTAATGCGATCCCCGTTTCGGATTAGCCCTTTATTGATTTAGTAATCGTTACACCAGTGACCCGCTTGGCCATTCTTCTAATGGCCATGGTCGCTACGAGTATTTCTTTTTTTTATATTGATAAGTAAGATAATACTCAAGTATCGAATCGCATCAGTTGAACAAAACGGAACGGCTCCCGTTGTTGAAGCTGTAACGTTTATCAATAACAAAATGATATTATTCTACCAAAGCTACTGAAATTATCTATCTCAATTTGTATTCCTAGTTCGCTTTAAAACGTAGGTTTATCGGCAAGATTCCAATTGTCTTAGTTACTGTTACTTTTCATGAAATTATTAACGTAGTATGATATGATAAAATTAATCGAATGGATTTATTTAAAATGTGTCAAGATTATCGTTGTGTAAGGTGGAACCGTGTTAGAGTAAGCTTTAGGATTCCTGTCCGTGCCAAATCGGCCGAAATAGATTGATTTCTTCCGTTCAATTTTGCACCTACTTCGAATGCCCCATTACATTCGTGCTGATTCAAGCCAAACCTCTGAGATTTCTGATTCAATTTAACTTAATTCCGTAATAAGGGACGGCACCCCTATATTGACAAGGAATTCTCCCCAGCAAGTTAAATACACCAGTCCTTTATATATATTAATGAAAAAAACAAAATGGGGTGTAGTAAGGCTACCAACCTTGTCAACACTAACTATATGTTAATGATGACACCATCTTAACAAACAAACGGGGTGTGTTACCGTTGTTGCCGTTTTATACATTGACACGAACAGGAATCGTAGACGGGTTTTGTACTTAGTTGGTTGATTGGGGGTGTAATTTCATAAGAAATTGACTGAAAATATATGACTGAGTAATGTAGGTATGACGGTTTCGGAATAGATGCGGCGTTGTGCGGCGGGCGGCTGGCGATATCGTAATAAGTAGCGACGCGCCGGGGGCGAGCGGCCCTGTTTTCGACGGAACAAATCGGCCATTTCCCCCTACAATGGACAGATGCCAACCTCAAGAGGCCCTGTCCGCTAAAACCAAGACCGCTCACCTCCCATGTCGAATTAGTGATAGACATTTACGGCGACGAAGTGACTATTAGTGCATAGCTCTTAAAACGTGTATCTAATTTGTAAATTATTTATTTTCCATAGAGAAAGTCGTATTTTGTTAACGTTTTAGTTGATGTTTTTTTTATTATTATTATTATTCTCTTGTCCCCTTTAGTTCCAACCGAATGTAGATACGTAGGATTTCATACGCTTGTACTTTTAGTGAGCCAATTTTATTGTGTATTATATTATTTGTATTTGGTTCGGTAGCGATATATGCTTTTATGCGGTCATTGTGTAGTGTATGGACGCGGTAATTGTGATTGTATGGACTTGCATGTACCAATTGAATCGACCTATTCAGTGAACCCTCGCATTTCGATACTGGGCGCGGTTTGACTGAACTCTTGGGGCAACAGCTAAATCACGCAAAGATCCAGCTCATCTCCTAGGCCGAATCAATACCAACCAGTCACCTGATTAACTATCAACTTAACTGCGAACTGTGTAAATAAACGAAACACTTATGTGAGCAGCGTCTTTTGTAATCACATTCAATCATCCACATATTCTGTACAGGTCTATGTACCGTTGTAAAAATATGTCTGATAATTATGTTAATGTTTCCCTGTAAATATCCCGAGCTAACATTCAAGCTCGCCGAGTCACAGTCATGAATTTCATAAACATGTACAACAAGTTTTATGAATGTATTTTGTAATTTATTTATGTCGTACGCATTTTGTCAATGAAACACTGGAAAACGACACGCAATCTGTACAGTCTGTAGCATTTAACTGAAACAACGATGAATACGAAACTTGTAAGTAAAGATTCGTGTCTTTTTCGTTCGTAGCGAATAATTAATCGATTTTTGAGTGATATCTGACTCGTTGATGTAATAAATGTACAATGAACTTCAGTGCAGTTTTAAATTTGAAATAGCACCAGTATTCTGATATTGCGAGAAAGTTCCCCGTTACGATATCTAGTTTTTTTTTTAATTAGTTTTATATCGAATAGACACTATAAGAAGCTACACTAATTGTATAATTTCATCTGTCTGTGACGTGGTTGAATTATTATTAAACAGACAAACTCACCGAACGCTCTCGCCTTGCAAACAGATGAAGAGCGGTCGCAAAAGATTTTTTATCTTTGGAGATTGAATTTCTCGAAAATCATGTAAGCGTTCGTAAAACTCATTCGAAACAAAACCGGAATCGACAAAAACAAACATTATTTTATAGTGAAATAACTCGACCACTAAACGATTTCTTTGGCGGGAATGTCCGGTGCGTTTGTCGCAACTATACTGCCGAAATGTAAAATACAATTTAATATTATATGTTATTTATACACAAGTGCCATAATATACCTAATTATCTGGATTTGTCTACCGACTCAACGGGACATTGTTGATTTTCAATGTTTTCCTGTTTCACAACTGATTGTTATTAATTTAATCCACGAAGGGGCGGGTAGGGGGCGGGCAAGGTGACGCCGCACGCTTCATTCGAACGAACACTGTACTCGAGCGAATCAAAACTAACCCACTTAACGTTTAATTATGAAACTATTTTGTTTGCACAACGAAAACATTATTGTTTTGTTCCACATTAGACGATAAACAAGAAATTCACTTAAATCGATTCCGAGAATTGGCACCGAAGTATTCCCGGCTAGCGATCGGCTTCCGTTCGCGAACGGGAACATAAGGACGCGATCACACGATCATATTATGGAAATTGCAAAAAAATAAGCCTGGCGTGAGCCTTTATCGGTTACATTCATTTTGACGCCGGCGAAAACGCTCGCGTCAACGAACTCTGGCAACTTTTTTATTTAGTCTATGATTAAATTCGAAAAAAGAATTAAGTGGTTTAGTTTTAAAGAGGGAATGAGATGAAATAAATGCAAAATTTACATCATTACGACGCCGTTCCCACCAATCAGCGGTGCCATTGTCTCCCCCCAACCTAATTCTATGGGAACGTCAAGAGGGGTCGAACAGTATTAATTAATTAATTTAACCTATACATTATACAATAATTATAACTGTTTATTGGAGCGGTCGCTAACGCATGCGTACAAAAAGAAGATTGAAAAATCTAAATTATAAAAAAAAGATGTGTATAGTCTTAAATGTTTCCGAAGTAGATTTTTGAAAGTTCACCTTTGTAAGTAGATTTACCAAACGAAGATTGATCGAAACTTTTAGACAATAAACTTTTTACAGCCTCTTTTACCGACAAATTAATAAAAATGATTCTTTAAATACAGTGTGATGTTTTATTTTATGCCAATGTTTTTATAAAATACAGTCAAGTTCTCCAGGAGATGTAGCAAATGTTACATACATTTTATGCTTATACATACCAAGCGTAATACTACGTTCGTCTGTTTTAATGTACATGTCAAACGGTAAAAACTTCAAATAAGTGGAGTTGTTTTCTACAATTACACACCACATACAACAATTCTTTACCATATCAGCACAGACTATATTTATTTTATTTATTTATTTATTTATTAAGGCTTACCAACTATATACATACAGAACATTGACATACAAATATGTTTAAATTAATCATATAGTTGTAACAATATATGTACATATTTAAATTACAGATAAACACAACACCATAAAACAAACTTGAATTAGAGAACGGAAACTTACTAAACTAACTACACGTGAATATTATTGGGACTGAATGCAAGATTGAGGGGCGAGACGCAGACGATTATCCCACGAGAGATAGTAGATGTGTTTGCTCTCTCCTCAGATTCGAACACAGACATCCAGTTGACCGTCTTAGTCGACATCCAAAACCACAGCGATCCTTCTCATTGACCATTGTTGAACATAGGCCTCCCCTTTAGAGCGCTACTTTGTCATTTGCATCCACCGCTAGCCCGCGACTCTTACGATGTCGTCCTACTCATCCTAGCGATAAATAAAAACAAAAAGTAATACTGTTATAAGTAATCCTATAAAAAAAACATTAAACTAGTCGTAATTGACAGCGACGGAGTCAGAAAAATTTATTTAGAAAATAAAATCCAGATAACAATTTGCTGTCTGGATTTTCACTTATGTTTGCTTCAAGCTGTTTGTCGCTACACACCGGACATGAATGTGGTTCGTCACTGAAATATTTCTTGAAGCATGCCACTGGGATTTGAACCCCCGACTACAAATTACCCAATGATATAATAGACACCGTTTATAAACAAACAATTTATTAAATTTAAAAATAAAATTCTGCAGACATTGATTATACAGCGTGTCATTACAATCGCGACAATAAATGAACACACATATAGAGGATAAGTTTTTAAAATTATATTAAACGTTTACATTGTTTAAACATCAATATTTACCGAGTTATAAAATTTTCCAAAACAACGAATTTTAGAACATCATTACGTATAAAACTGTAACGTAAAGTTCATTTATAAAGGTCACAAAGCATACGAATGGGTTGAATGAATCTAAAAGAGACAAAACATTCTGTTAGAAGGCGAGGCTTGTAATGCGATACTGTGGCAACGAATGATAAAATCTTTGAATGAATGAATCAGTCAGTTGTAGTTGTATAGGTGTTACAATTTTTTTTTTCTTTTTTCTTATTTAGTTTGTTTGAAAAATATTTTTTTTAATTATTATTAATATATTATTTTTAACGTTAATATTTTTTATGATTATTGGCAAGTAGCGTTAGACGGGTGTTCATTTAATGTCGCGGTCGTAACGACACGCTGTATACTTGTCTGTATAGGGCAATGCTTAACAAATGACTAGATAGAACTGTCACCGATTGTGTGACTGCCGCTCGTGTACCTACTTATTGTAAACAAACTGTCAAGGTGTGCGTTTTTAAGGATGCCAGCTCCAAATTATTAACATAAATTTTCCCCATTATTTAATAAGGCCAAAGTTAAACAAAATAGGTTGAAAAGGTAATTATTTTGTCGTTTAGTTGTTTTATTTATCTTAGTAACAACAAAAAATACTATGAAAAAATTACAGTAGTTTATACATCAAAATCTGTTTCTAAATTCTGCTGTATAATCGCTCTCCTTAAAATAATAATACTCTGGTAGACTGACAACACCGGGTAACCATACTAAAGAGTTTCCTTAAATTAATATGGTTAAATAACAAAACTTAACTATGAAAATTGATATTGGTATTATTATACGATTTTCCCATATAATTGCGACACGATTTAATAGCACAAACCGGTATAATTAATTATTTTTCGTGAGCACATTATCCGTAATTGATTAAATGACAGTGACTTAAGTGTTGCCTACTTTAGTGGACATTTTTTGTCTACCAATTTGAGTAGATATTTTTTGCGCCGTTCGGTCCGGTAATGGGTTATCTAGACAAGTATATAATCAAAGGCTGTAGAAAAATATACCATAACATGTAGCCCATAGAAGTTATTCTAACAATACAGCCAGCACACACTGCGTAATTCGGATTTAATCTCTATTACACTTTAGACTTACTATTTTATTTGTTATAATTTCAAATATTCAATAATAAAGATTTTATGTAACAAAACTCCATAGTGCCATGAAAGCGTTTAACATTTCATCGGTAAATGATTACACTAACCCTGTCTTCTTAATCTAGTCCAGGATAAACTATATATATCAAGAGAGTATCACCTCAAATAAAAAAAATCCCTATACCCTGATGCGTTTACAACTGAAAAACCATGAAACGTAGCCATTTCTCCAACCACCAAACTGCAAGCGTCCATCAAAAATCACCACGCAGCCAAGATGAAGAACAGCAACACAGGATCCAAATATATACATTATAGCCACAAAATCACCGCTAAAATAAAATATAGCTGTATAGGTGTAAAATAAAATATAGCATAAAAAGGAAGTAAAGTAATAGTCTGTATTTATAATAATATGAGCTGCTGAGCAAAGGCGTCTGCTGTACAGAGAGTATTAGTCTGCTGTAGAGAGGGACATGGCCCGCCATGTGACCCTACCGCGGATTGGCAGACTTTAAAGATCTTCGAATTTTTTTAGTATTATTTCACGTAAAATATGCGGGTTTTCCGTCACCAAGTGATAAGTGATAATAATATGATAATTTATTAAGGATTAAATATTATCCAATGTTTACATTTTATTTTATTAGAGTTCACTAAATTAAAAACTAGCGCGCAAACGGCTCGAATAAAGAACGTACGAAGTCGTCATCTGCCACGACATACTTCGTTTTGGCGAAAGTAATAGACTAAACAATGCATCGAACGAATGGGCAAAGGCGCTCATTGCATAGGCGTTTCTACGGCGTAATTACATAAGCGTTTCCCCTAATGACACTAGGAATGAATATGTAATTTCTTTCAAGGATCTTTGACAAACAAATAATAACGTAAAGTTTTCGTAAAACGAATAAGATTTCAAAAATTCCATTGTAAATACCAACCAAGGTATTAGGAACAGCGACGAAGTTTTTAAATTTTCTAATCTAAGATTATTTAAATTATAATCGGTATCATATAAAAAAATTTAGCTTCCCTAAGATTGTGTCTACAAAAGTCTAAAACCAGCCGATGATATTTGTTCACAAAATTGCAATTAAATAGGAAAGTTTAAAATACCTTTTATTCCGACGTTCCATCAGAAACGAATAAAAGCCAGCAAAGCACAATAATTGATTGATTTTCAATAATTATTTTATTATAAATATATTTTATACATTCAATATAATATATAATGAAAGAGTGAGAGAATTTGAAAAAATAATTACATAAATATAAAAGTCATACGGCAGAACGTAGCCAATATTTATTTTAAAAAATCTTCCGAATGTTTTACAACAATTGTATACCATGTTACTGCTTTTTACATTAATACTCAATTGTTCCCCTATCTTTCTAAAATACCTACCATTGATCAATACTAATTGCATTTACTCACAATATTTTATCCCAAATCTGTAACTGATCACGTTTCTATGCGAAAAATTGTCATAAATTACCTTATGCTATTTATTGAATAATTTAATATCATAAATAATATTAATCTAAATTAAGTTTTAAACCAATTAAAAGCAAAATAAAAAATTATAATATATGGATGCTAAAAACCGCCAAAACTAAATGATACTTTTTTAAAAGGCAAAAAAATCAAACTAAATATGATTAAACTCAAAATAAAAACAAAATTTTAGTACATACATTAAATTCAGTGTGAAAATATCATACAATTTATAATTCACCAGACCTTTACAACCCACGTCGACGTCGTTGCTGGTTAAAATATAACATTTTAAAGAAATTCGTTGAAGTTATTTTAATGACATATTTATTTATCTCCGAATATATAGATTTTACTTTATTACAATCTATGGCACAAGTACGCAGTAAGCCACAGATAACATATACATCGATTTACTTGTGTCTCGGTTGACGCTTGGCAGCCATTTTACATCGAACGAAGTTCGTACTTTGCTCGATGCTTCACTCGCTCGCCATCTTGTTTTCAAGTAAACTAGTTTGTGATTTCTTTCGATTCGATACACGTTTATAATCGTTTTCGGTACAATATCCATCAGAGTTTTGGCGGCAAATTGATCAAAGATCAATAGGAAATCGATTGAACGATGAAGAAAACATCGTCTTTAGTATGGCGATTTTTTGATCGGCTAGAAGAGAATAAGAGGTGTGTGGCTGTGTTGTGTAAATTATGTGAAACACAATATAAATATTTCGGAAACACAACGAATTTGAGGACACACCTGGTTAATAAGCACCCTATCCAGTGGGGTTTATTGCAGAATGGTTCTTTGGACGAGAGGACATTTCGAGTATACGAGGATGACGAAAGTACTAATCAAACCATTGCCACGCCAAGAAGAAGAAAATATGTAAACGCCTACAAGAACGATAACGTACGTTATTCGGTATCTGTTGATCTTAATAAGAAACACAATAATGGGCAGTCCTATGAAGAAGGCTCTATGCCCGTAATTGAAATACAAAGGGTATTTACTATGTTCTGTATAGGTTATATTTTTATCATTAGATGTTAGTAATTAAATAACTATATTGCCGCACTATCGATGTTGTTAATTTGAAATTGCAATTGGGGATCATCGATATCTGCGTAACAATCGACTTGCATCAACTCTAGTAAGGTCCATCAAAAGCGTATTATCGTTTTAGTCTTTATAAGGAGCCCAAATAGTGATAGCTACTGATTCAATTTATTTATCTGACTTTTGTACATATTTCAGGTTGATGTTTTAGAAAATTCAGACACAGAACTAGAGCAAGGTAACAATGATGAAGTAGAAACCATTAATATGGTTCAACAAGTGCATGAGAGCCGAGGTTCTGATGAAGAATGGCTGGAGGAGGACTGGACCACCCAAGTAGATTCCTATGAGCCCAAACGTAAAAAGACCAAATATAGGACAATCAAAAAGGAAATCAAATCTCCTACTCCGACAAAAAGAAATTTTCTTTATAATCGCAGACCAGCCATTGTAAAGCTTGCACCACAGCCTCACCAGTCTGGTTTTGTAACTTTGGACAGTCCAATAAATAAAGATGAGTTTTCAGTATTCGGAGAATACATTGGTAATAAACTGCGGAAATTTAAGTCCTATCAGACTAGTGTTAATGTTCAGCAATTAATTACAACCATATTATGGCAAGCTGAATATGGGGTTTATGATAATCTGGAATCGGTAAAAAGAATTGTACTGAATACAGTTAAAGAGATGGACACTACTCAGAATGTGAGTTGTGAAGAAAGCCAAATGCCCCATGCGTCTCAGGAAATAGTTATTGAAAATAAAGATCAGGATCCACAGAATGCAAATGAACAAGATCGAACTCCTTAAGCAAAACAATAATTTTTAATGTACAAACTTATAATTCTGTCAAGTATAATTATGTAAAAAAAATAATGTTATGAAACTTGTAGCAAAATTTAGTTACACGTTTTCTGTTATAAAGAATATTCTAACTATCTATTGGTATAGTTACTATGCTTTTTATGGTAAAATAAATCTGTGAAATATCTAAATTGTTTTTGTGGGCATAAAAAATGTGATTTAATTTACATGAGACATCAGTATAGATCTAAATTCATACTATCCATGGAAGTCATAAATATGTTTTCTATTTACTTGAAATTCATAAATAAATGAAATGAACTCCTATTTAAATTCATTTTTTATAATTTAAATTGCAGCCTATTAAACAAATTTTAATAGACTGCAATGAAATATAAAGTGAAATCATTTTTTTATTTTCACTGTGATAGGGACACACAGCAGCCTCGGCTGTTGCATAAATGGGCAGGCTTATCCAGGTAAGTACCACGGCCTCACAGACCGGCGTAAAGTGGAAGTACAATACTTTCGCGTTTCGTCTGGTGGCCGCAGCCCAGATTTCAAAAGGCTGTCAACGCATCTGCAGCCCTCGGGTGTAGCAGATATCTATGGGCGGCGGTATTCACTTAACATCAGGTGAACCGTCTTTCGACAACTTTTCGCATTAAAAAAAATTACTTATGTTTTCATGAGGTAAATTGAGTCTAGCATTTTAATTGCCAATAAAAGGTTGATAATTAGTATAATAATTTATTCATAAAAAATATGTGGAAGACTGTCCATAACTTCTATACAGAAACAATTCGCTAGAGATCAGGTACTAGAGTTAACAAACAAAAATCGACTTCATGGTTAGCGCATGCGCGGCCAGTACTGTGTGCTATTTCTTTTTCCCATCATTTTTCTCTCTCACACGGCGATCAGCTGTTCTGTCAACATGGCCACGCTGGGTCGTACGTCTTGCAAATTATTTAACAAATTACACAATTCCACTATTTTGAATCGCGAAATAAATGGTGTTTGCTACAAAAATGCAAATAAAGTATCATGGACCAAATGTGCTTGTGTGTTTGGTGGTGCCGTTGTGTTATACGTAGCAAGTAGATCCTATAAAACGAACACCGTATATGCCCTTAAAGCGAAGGTGAGTTATCCTTATTTATCCGGCGAAAACGTTAATATTATGAACATGATCAATTAAAAAATACTTCAAATGATGAACTCTATCGATACAAAGCTTAGTAACAGTGAGGTATGTCATCTATAATATTTACAAAATGAAATAGATACATAAGTAAATTAAAACATTATTTTCACAGGTGTTCATAGAAAATAGTGTTACTTTCATTTAGCTTCGAAAATATTTATAACTTTGTTACTCGTTCACAGAGTATCTAGTATCTACTTCCCCACCAATCCCTCCCAACCACCATGAAAATAATATTTGACATTTACGCATTTAACGCTGCGTTCAGAATAACGTAACATAACATTGAAGAAATTGTTATTTGAATATATAACTCTGGTAAAAATGTTGTACAATAATAAAACCAATGTTATAAACTTCCTTCTAAACCTTCTTCAAATTTTCTACTTAATTTCGATAGCAAGAACCGTTTCTAAGTAAATTAAGGTAAGAGACAAATTAAAGAAAAATGCATGTGGCAGAGACACGAATGATGAAATGGATGCGTGGTGTAATAAGAAAGAACAAGATTCGGAATGAGTATATAAAGGAAAGCTTGAAAGTCGCACCAGTGCAGTGGCAGAAAGTAAAGAGTGGTTCCTATCACTACGTTCCTACTATGTATGGCGACGTTATGATTAGGGATAAAAGTCAAGTGGCCAGAAAAGTGATAAGTATGAATGTGGTTGGATGGTGTAAAGCTAGAGGAAGACCAAGAAAAATTTGGAGGGATTGTGTGAAGAATGATATGTATGTGAAAGGTGTGAGTATTGAGATAACGGCTGATAGAGGGAAGTGGAACGAGAACACATGTTGTGCCTACGATACGGTAAGGACAGGAGAAAAAAGAAGAGAAGAATTAAGAACTGGGTAATATAGTAAATTGATAGATAATGCAGATAACAGGCTTTTTTAACATGCTTTTATTTTCTTTTTTGCATGTACTACTGCAGAATATCGATTACTTTTTTGTCGTACAAAAAAATCAATAAAATTTATTATAAATTGAATGCTGACTAATTGTTTTTAATGAATTGCGTTCAGTTATACGCTATTAAGTATTATTGTTATAAAAATGTTTCTCGTTCTAATCTACCTATTGCTGTTTTCATTTAATTTGGCGAATGGCATTTGTAATTAAATAGAAATTAATATAACATAATATTTAGATATGATTCGTAAAAATACCTACTTTATTTACAAGGTGAACTAAATTTTAAATTTCTGGCAATTAATTATTATGTATTGTCTCCACTTCAAAGGTTCTGGTATAGCTATGATTATTATATTATTTTAAATACAATGTTCATTACAAAAGGTTGAATTTATCATTTGCTTATACATGCGTAATTAAAAATAAAGTTTTCATAAAATTTGGAGTCAAGAAAAATAATAAGAATAAAATTCTTATTCAAACTCCTAATGTATGTGGCAATACTTTACGTGATTGATTGAATCGTGGTGCGCATTACCACGAGGAATCTCTACGCCCCAAATTAATGTGAGCGATTAATTTTCATGCCGCATCCCTGAGAATTGACCCGGCAGGAGCCTTTATGCGTTTCTTTTTATTTCGCCTTAACACGTGTTAAATGCAGTAATGAGTTCCCGGGTGGTGAATCGTTAATAGGACAAAAGACGAATAGTTTTCGATTTTTTGAATCGATTTTTTCTTAACTTTTCGCTTTTTAAACTGTCACTTAGCGAGTTCACAGCGATAGGGTTGACATTGCTATAGACGACGCTCATTTATTATAGGGTTAACATTCTATAACAATTATTTTTGATGTAGGTAGATTATAAATAAATATTTTACATTTTTACTTTAGTTTCATATTTTGTTTAAGCCATGGCACTCAAACAAAAAATGAAAATTATATTATTCTGAATAAATTAAGATTTTAGTTTTATATCATATTTTACTGCAATTTTTGCGCTAAAATTTTGCTAAAATAATAAAAAGTCATCAATGTAATAAGACACTGCTAATAAATACGAAGAAATGGCTAATATTGAATGCTCACGTTCGCTCTGCTAAAATCTATTTATAAATAAATATTCTTTCTTTATGTAAATGTAGGTTAGCCGGTTCACATGATGGTTAGTGTATCCCGCCGCCCATGAACATCAAAAACAGCAGATGGGTTACAGTATGCAGATGCATTGTAAAACTTTAATAACAGTCGGCCCATATATTTTAGCTCGTAATTTATATTTACACAAACATTGTGTTTTTTTCTTTGTAACTTTTTATCTGTATTACCTATGTTCCTATATTTAAAAAAATATGCAAATTCTATAATGGATGTCTATAGAATTTCCATATTTGAGGTCTTTCCATCTGAGGTCTACCAGGCTGTATCTCCTAAACCGTGATAGACAGTTGAAATTTTCACAGATGATGTATTTCTGTTGCCGCTATAACAACAAATAAAAAATAAAAAAAAAAACCTAAAAGACAGAATAAAAAATATTTAAGTGGGGCTCTCATACATCAAACATGAGTTTATTTTTTCCGTTTTTATAGATAACTAGCTGACGTTGTTTCGCCGTAGAAATTATTTGTAGTATAGGAAAAAATAAATAAAAAATATATGTTACAAATCTATCCTCATATCAACTGAATATACATACATATAAAATTTCATCAAAATCGTCCAAGCCGTTCTGAAGGAGTATAAACACTAAAACTGTGCCACAAGAATTTTATACAGCGTGTCGTTATATTTAATATTTACCGAGTTATATTTATTTATCAATATTTATTTTCATTATTTACCGAGTTATTAAATTTTCCAAAACAAACAATTTTAGAACACCCTTGCGTATAAAACTGTAACGTAAAGTTCATTTGTAAAGGTCACAAAGCATATGAATGGGTTGAATGAATTTAAAAGAGACAAAACATACTGTTAGAAGGAGAGGCTTATAATGCGACGCTGTGGCGCGAGTTGTATGGGTGTTACAAATTTTGTTTCTTTTTTACTTAATTAGTTTGTTTGAAAAATATTTTTTTTGATTATGGATTTTGTTTGACTTTAATATTTTTTTATGATTATTGGCAAGTAGCGTTACACGTGTATTCATTTATTGTCGCGATGGTAACGACACGCTGTATATTAGATGGTGCGGAACTCTTCGTGCGCGAGTCCGATTGGGTACTTGGCCGGTTTTTTTATTGAGTCGACTGGTATCGCTTGAATTCTTCGTAACCAGAACTTGGCAACGTACACTGTTACTTGTAATTATTATATGTTATTAGTTTATTAAGAAATATCTATTCAAATTCAGCATTCGTTATTTTATAGCTAAGTTGGCAACACTTCTCGATAAAATTTTGACATATTGTAGCTTCTCGATAAAATTTTGAAATATGGGGATAGAGGGAAATGCACAGATAACATATAAGTACTGGAGTTACGGTCATTGATCACTCCTTATATCTGCACCATACGTATTCCTAACAATCGTTTGTCAACGCTCCTCGAAGGAGTAACGATCCGTAAGCATGCGTTCGACTTAAATGAATCGTTTCGTGAATTTATCGGAAGTCCGTCGAAAAATTTGTCGCGTCAAATGTTGCATACGTTATTCAGAAAAATGGCTTTCGTTCAAATAACAAATGCATTCGATTTTTTCTACATATCTACATTATGATTAATGACTTATGTTTGAACAAAAACATGTTTTTGCTGATATGCGTTTCGTCTTTTAATGCGGGACTAGTTCTTCTATTATTATTATTATCCAATGATATTTTATACTACAGATGTATTTGTTACGCGCCCGGGGTGAACCCACGAAACTGTTCTAAATG